GGCACCTCCCCCTCCCCCTTCCCTCCCGCCGCGTGGCCAAACCCCTGCTCCCACAGCGGCTGACCCCTGCTCCCACAGCGCAGTTAACCCCCTCCCACAGCATGGTCAACCCCCGCGGGCACCTGCCCCGGGTCCAAAACTCCCTCCCACGGTGTGGCCCGGCCAACCCCCCTCCCCTTCCCTCCCCTCCCGCAGTGCTGCCAAACCCCGGGGCCGACCCCTGCTCTCGTGGCGCAGGGAAAGCCCTGCGCTCGACTCACCCTTCCAGCACTGGGAAGGCACCGCACTCCTCCTCCAGGGCCAATGCCCCCTCCCCCCGCACACAAACAGAGCTGTGGGAAGGGAACAGCCCGCACACTTCCGGAACCCCCGGAAGTGACGCGGGCTTCACACAGGACTTCCGTCCACCCCGCGGGAAGCCGGCACTACACTAGAGGTAGATAGTGGGGCTTCTCGGGGGTGGGGGGAAAATGGGAAGTGAGGGTGCCCGAACACCTCACGATCGACTGGTTTGGGGATTTGGAACTGATGTCTGTGCTGTTAAAAGTGTGTTATTTTTCTTTTGTTTTGAGCCCAGGGGTGGCAGGGAGTCTCTTACTATGTAGCCACCTCAACTGTTTGCAACGAGAGTTTTGTTCTGATGATAAAAGTTTGTTTTCTTTTTCTTATTAACTGGTATTGGTTCATTTTTGTGTCTTGAAGTCTGTTGGTCTGACTAGGAGTCAGCTACCACAGACTGCAGCTTGTTTTCTCTTTTATCTCTTTTTTTTCTTCTGTCTTTTTTCAAGCTCTTTTGGGGGAAAAGAGCGTGAGGTGCCCTTGAGGTTTTAGGGAGGAAGTTTCCCAAGTGATCTCTTACCTGGTTTTCTTGGAATATTTGGGTGGTGGCTGCAGATATTCCCCCAAAATCCAGGTATTGGGATTTTGGGGGGAAGTTTTTGTACCAAAGCCTGTAGAGTTAAGGTTTTGGGGTGTTTTTTGCAGGTCCCCACTTCTGCAGTTGTCATGCCAGAGTGGGGATCAGCCTTGACAGGAGCTAATGCCTTTCTTTTATGCCTTCGCTTGGTGGTTTGTTGGCTTTTGAAAAGACAACCTCTCCAATGTCTGATTCTTTGCATGTGGTATATACTGACAAGTCGTTTTCTAAACTTTTTCAGGTTGTCCGTCAGATGATGTGGCTGATGGATCATATTTTTAAGTATACAAACTTTGGGATTGTATCTCTAATCCATGGAGATTTCTTTATAAGACAGGTAAACAATAGATGTATTATGATGCCTTGGCTTATCCTTGTAGTCAATGTTTAAATTTTCTAGATGCAAAATTTCAGTGTGGTCTTCTAGGCTGTATATCTGACCTCTGTAATGGGAAATATAAGGTGAAATCCTTGAGCTGAAATGTGCTTGCTAGAAACCTCATATAAAATATTTTACTTTTTTTAGCAGTTGTATTCTTGACCATTTATATGATGTTCAAGCATCATATAATCTGGGTTTCAACCAGATTTAGGACTCATGCTAGGCTGCTGTACAATTGTACAGTAAATGAGTCTTTACTTCAAAGAGTTTACAATCTAAACTTTACATTGCCACCAGTGTACAATAATATAGCACGGAATCCAGTCTGGAATCTGATAATTTGTAACCATCAATGACTCTTGTTTGTTGTTTGTATTATCCTGAAATCTAAGAGATAAGTGATTACTAGACTTCATGTATTACTTTTTTGTTTATTAAATGCAGAGCAAGCCATCTGCTAAGAATAAGAAAATGTAGAAAAGTTTTAGTTGTGAAAATTGATCTAATTACAGTTATGCAATAAGAGGAAACTGCATGCCAAATTTGGTGGTTCTAGAGCTTACTGTTCAGGAGGAGTTCTTGAGTAAACAAGCAGACTGATGGACAAACTCTCTCAGACTATGTTTAGACTGCAGGTTTTTTCTGGGATCCTCTGGTATCCCAGGTAACACTCTGCCGCATCCAAGGAATGTGTCTGCCTTCCTGAAAAAAATGTCAGATAAGCAAATGTTTCTTTTGGTATCCCTGTAAACCTTGTTTTATGAGGAAGAAGGGATGTCCCCCCCCTCCCCCCAACATTTGGCCCAGTGTAAACAGGCCAAATGTCAGAAAAGCCTCTTCTGAAAAAAGAATCTGAAAGATACACAAATTGCGGTTCGCAATTTGCGTATCTTATTCCAATAGAGCTGTGGTCTAGACACACCCTCAAATATATAGTAGATGAAGATCTGTAGGTTTTTTTTTCACTGTATCAAAAAATCTATATATTTAAGAGAGTTTGTCTACCTGTGTGTCTGTTCAAGAACGTCTCCTAAACAGTAAGATATAGGACCACCAAATGTGATGTGCAGCTTCCTCTTATCATAACTTAAAGCATGGTAAGGATTTGGGCCAGGAAAATGGGATGTGCCTGGAATGGGATTGTTTCTCATAAAATAAAGGGAGGGTTTTGCAATACAATGACCACTTGGGGCTGCAGGAGATATGGGATGCAAAGCAGGGTTAGTTATACTATACAGTGACCACAAGGGGGCAGTAATGGGCTGGAAGATGGGGACTGGGACAGCTATAACCCTACTGATGCAGCAGCGGGGCAGTGGTTGGAAAAGGGACAGCTATCTACTAAATATCTGAGAGTGTTTTTCTGTTTGTGTCTGTCTGTCCCCCAGCTGGGGGACATGAACCTGTCCCCTGGCTGTACCAGCTGCAGCAGGTATGGAGAGGTACTTCTCACATGGCCCCAAACCGCTGCTTCCTGCGGCTTCCCTTGGCTGCAAACGGCAAGCTGCAGCCAATGGGAGCCACAAGCCTCCATGGTTGCGGAGCTGGTAAGTCGGAGCGGCCCAGTGACAGCTTTCTCAGAATGGATCTGTGTACCAGTTTGAGAAATACTGAATTAAACAATTATTTTTATGTTTCATCAGAAAAAAGTCATGACTCTTCTTCGGATTATGTCCATGTGAGTGCTCCACATAAGGTGATGGGTCGTCCCCGGACCTGTGATGTTAGAGGTTTTTCATAGCAGTTAGCAGTTGGGCCATGCATGTGCAGCAAGCAGCTCATGCTGCTGGTAGTTGAATGCGTCTCATGCAGTCTGACTCTTTTTCTCTCCCTCCCCCTCCCCCCTTTCAGTTCCTCTTCTACTGTCCTTAGTCATGGACGGAGCTCTCCTGTGCTTCAGGCATGTCTCTCATCACAAGAAAAATTTAACTCTTCTGATGACATTTTAACCTTGTTTAGTTACAAATTCCTTCTGTTACATTCTTGCCATTCCAAAGAAAAGAAAAAAAGGTGGAGGGCGGGGGCTTAAAAAGACAAAAAACAGCAAGCATTGCCTATACAAGCTTGCCAACGGTTTAACCAAGAAACCTCCTTCCCCCAAAACACCAGTGTCTCCCAGTATGCTCTGCTCACTGGGGTTTCAGAAGTGCCACAGCTGTAATGACTCTATGCTGGCCTCTGATGGCCACAGCTGATGCATATAATGTCTGGGGGGAGTCACACACTCCACAAAAGTGTGAACGCTCCTGGAGTTTGACTACGAAGGCGAGAGCGTATTGGGAGTTTAGGCTTCACATGACCCTCCTTGAGAGATCTTACAGCCTATGGAGGAGCCTCCACTAAATCAAGCGGCAGAACTTCTGAAGCATAGATCTGCCTCCCCAACACCACGGAGGCATCTCACCAGTCAGATTGCTACCACCCAAGTGGTCCCAAAGAATGACCGGGGAGACATGCCAGGCATCTCCCTAGCTCTGTGGGGCTGAGGTCAGTCACAAATGCCGCTGCTGCAGCACCCAGCCTGAATATGGCATCTGTACGCTCCTCCTCCGCACCGGGGAGAGTGCACCAGCAAACCCTGGCGCCGAAGCAAGTGCCTACATGTGTGACGCTGGCAAAGCAAGCGGAACTGGCTTCCAAACGGCCCTACAAAGCTCTGACACTGCCCCCCAGTGTGGCGGTTTCTATGATGGCTCCCCCTGGGCAAGCTGTTCTCAGCTTGCAGCCAGACCAGACTGATTAATGAATTGATTGCAAATAGCAAAGACTTCATGGATAGTGCAAGTGAGCAGGGGGATGCTGCTCCCCCTCCTACCCCCCCTTACTCCCATCAGGAGAGCGGGCTCCAGTGCCTTACGCATCATACTCATCTCCACAGTATAGGAGAGCTCTGCATTTACATGGGTGCTCTGGGGAGACTGAGTATGAACAGGGGAGTGTGTTCTCTTTGCAGCATTCATCTCCCACCATGTCCCATCAATGTCATTGCTACAAGGTATGCCTGTATCACCTCAGTGGCATCTGAATTGGCATTACCATCTCTATGCTACCTGGCACACTGGGACTATTGGCCACTGCCTAAACACCAGTCTTCTGGTCCATTACCCTCACCAAAAAGACTTCCACCAGCCTCACCATCTCACACCCTGATGGCCGTGCTGGAGTCAGAAGAGGACAAATGCCAGTTGTCAGATGTTTGACAACACTCAGCTCTCATGAGATTCGCCACAAGACAACTTATCTTCCCCCTCCCCCAAGGGGGCTATAGTTCCTGAGGACGAACACACCACAGTAGACCTGAAACAGTTTCAAGATTATTTTTTTAGAGGATAGCTGTTACCTAGGAGATAAAATGTCAAGGAGAAACAACATGGTCTCCTAAAGAATATTCGTCCTTTATGCCAAGGCAGGATTGTGTTGCCCATAGACAAGGCTATCATGCAGGTGTTTGAAGACATCTGGCAGATGCCTGCATCAACCCAACCAATCTGCAAGAAGTTGGTGTGTTGGGGTGTGCCAACCCTGCACTGGTAGTGAAGGAGTTAACCAGGCTTGTTAGGCTGAGAAGGCCCCTCCCCTGCAGCCCTGCTGGGCATGCTCCAGCTGCAGGGTCAGTATAAAGGTCAGTGGAGCAGCTCAGTTGGGGTTGACCACGGAAGGGGAAGGAGCTCCTGCCAGAGCTGAGGAGCAAACACCCCTGCGGGATCAACTGGAGTGGCCGCGGGCGCCAGAGACCCCGCGCCAGCCGGCGGCCCACCCGACCAGTCGCCAGACACAGCTGGCCTGGTCACTGACACTATGCCAAGCATAGCCACTGGCTCATTTGCCAGCCCAGATGGGGACAGGGCCAGTCAGCAGGCAGGGATAGAAAGAACCCCGGGGCAGGAAATAACCCGGAGAGCTCGGTGTGCTTTGGTGATGACTCCCTGCCAAACCAGTGGTGGGAGCCACCGGCCACTGATAGTGCCCTGGGCTTGGGGCTTGGTGGAAAGGGAGGGCCTGCAAGCATAGCCACTGGCTCATTTGCCAGCCCAGATGGGGACAGGGCCAGTCAGCAGGCAGGGATAGAAAGAACCCCGGGGCAGGAAATAACCCGGAGAGCTCGGTGTGCTTTGGTGATGACTCCCTGCCAAACCAGTGGTGGGAGCCACCGGCCACTGATAGTGCCCTGGGCTTGGGGCTTGGTGGAAAGGGAGGGCCTGGGTCTCCCTACCCTCCTACTCTGACACTCCAGAGAGGGGAGCAATACAGACTTGGCCGCTAGGCCACCTTAACCCCCCAGCCAGGGGGCAGTATGGACTAAGGCGCTGGGCCATATTGACCCCCCCCCTCCCCCAGCCAGGGGGCAGTACAGACTTGGCTGCTGGGCTATATTTCCCCCTCCTATATTTACCCCATGACAGACAGACAGACAAAAAATACTTAGTTTTGCCTAAAAAATTGGATTTCCTTTTCTCCCACCCCCTGCCAGACTCGCTTGTGGTAGATGCGGCAAACCAATGGTTAAAAATCCTTCAGCTTAAATCAAATGGCGGGGACAAAACTCAAAAGGCTAAACCAATTTGGCAAAAGGGTGTACTCTGTCGCTCAGAATAGCAAACTACTCCGTCCTTCTAGCCAATCATGATTTTGACAAGTACTCCAGATTAGCTGCGTTTATGGAACACCTCCCGGATTCCAAAAATCCCATCCTCAGGACAGTCAACCGTGAAAGGCCACACCATTGCCTGCACCACATTGCTCTCGGCAATTGACTTTGCCAACACTGCAGGAAGGGCAACTGCTACAGCTGTGGTAATGAGAACATCATGGCTGCATGCCTCAGGGGTCCCTAAAAAACTCCAAACTATGGTGAAGGATCTCCCCTTTGACAAACATAAACTCTTTGCGACCAGCACCGACAAGATTCTACACAGCAGCAAGAACTCACATACCACTCTGCGTACTGTAGGAATGTACACACCACCAAACAGGCGGAGGCATTACACCCCTTACAGTAGAAATAGGGACACACATTACAACCATCCTCAATATAGACCATATGAATACAATTGCTCCACACAGTGCACCCAGAAGAGGTGCCAGCAGCAGCTACAGTCCTCTGGTGTCCAGGTTCCTAAGCAGCAAATTTGAAACATTGGTCAAGGGTCTGCCTGACCTCCCTGATCATCCAGTGCAACAAAGCCAGAAACATCTATTTGACCACAGGTTATGTCTCTTCCTTCATCACTGGGTCTCAACAATATCCGACCCGTAGTCTTACTTGCACTTTTCCCAAAACCACGTGTCTCTCAAACGCACTATGCTCCATACCCTGGATGTTGGAAGGGCTTTGGATTTTTATATTGACAGAACTCAGGCATTTCGCAAGTCCCCACATCTGTTTGTCTCATTCACAAACTATTCCAAGGGTAGCCCAATTTCCACACAAAGCATATCCAAACTGATATTGGCCTGCATGCTGCAGTGCCATTCCCTTCAAAACAAACCGCTGATAATGACACCAAGAGCACGCTCCACATGGGCCACAGGAACATCCTCAGTAGTGTACTCCTCCAAAGACATTTACTGGGCAGCTACATGATCATCCTACCACACTTTCTCTAGACATTATGCCATCATGCTTCAGTTGATGGCAGATACAACAGTGGCTATAGCAGTGCTATTTTCCACTATTAAGCACTGACTGAGCTCACCAGCCCATAGCGAGTACTACTTTGTAGTCACCTTATGTGGAGCACCCATGGGGACATCACCCGAAGAAGAAAAGGAAATTAGCTTGTGCAGTAATGACTGTTCTTCGAGGTGTATATTCTCATGGGTGCTCCACAGCCCTCCCTTCCTTCCCACTACTTGGGAGTCCAGGTGGTCTGCGATGGGTGAGGAATTGAAGGGGGGAGTCAGGGCCTCATACGAAGTGCTCAACTGCTGTAGTACGAGCCACCTGCTGCACACGCGCAGCTGAACTGCTATGAAAAACCTCTGACTTTGCAGCTCTGGGATGACCTGTCACCTTACATGGAGCACCCACAGGGACACTCATCTTGAAGAACAGCCATTACTGCACAGAGTCAGTAACTTTCTTCTATTATGGTTAGAGTTGATAAAAAGTATAACAATAAAATCGAGTCCCCTATTCAACAGTCATTTTAGTGCAAAGAAAATTTTTACGGTTATAAATCACACAATAATGCAGATTGGTTATGGAAAGAGTAATGGATGTTTTAAGAGTTTCTGATTCAAATTTACTATGTCTGGTAATTATTCAATGAAATAATGTTTGACGTTGAAATCCTACACATTTTAAAGCAGTTCTTTTACTTCCCTTTTGAAAGCGCGCACATAAAAATTCTTTTACATATGTTTAATTTCTTGAACTTTCCTATAAAAGTCATCTATGCAAAATGACTTTGCCCAATCAACTACAGGCCTTACCTCCTAGTTATTAATAATGGAGTGCGAACCAGAGAGAACGCATCTTCACCCCATGATTCCAGGTTGAGTTTGCAGTTGAAATAACATGTAAAGTTGTCAGACTTGCTCAGAGGACCATTAACAGATAATATTCTCGGGGTCCATGTTTATTACATTATACAGAATCAATTTTAATGGTGTAATTGTACGTGAATTATTACACTTAAAAAATAAACTAGTCAGAATGGCAGATTTACCTTCACTTCTGAAAACCTCTATTCATTCGTTATGAGTTGAGCATCAGTGGTGCCTTTGGGAAAATTATATTTATGTTGTCATTGATGATTTATTATATAGTGCTCTGAGAAAAGAGTTTATACTTTTTTTTTTAGAATGTTAGGTAATCTGCTTAGATTTTAAGGTTACTTAAGATATCACCAACTTTTCTTTCTCTCTTCCCTCCTTATTTCCTAGGGAAAAGCTCACCGTGACCAGCAGCTTGTGCTCCTAAAGGAGCATCTAGACAAACATTACAGGAGCCGTGACCGGAAGTGGATTGTACTATTTCCAGAGGGAGGCTTTCTTAGGAAAAGGCGGGAAACAAGCCAGGCATTTGCAAAGAAAAACAATTTGCCATTCCTTACGCATATCACCTTGCCAAGACTGGGAGCAACACAAGTTATTCTGAAATCACTTGTAGCTCAGCAAGAAAATGGAACCCCTGCAGGTGGAGATGCGATGGTATCAGGTAGGGATTGTTATGAAATATCAAAATAGCTAATGTTCAACCCTGACTACATAGCTTTAAACGAAACTTCATGGTGGTTTGAGTTAGATCTTTTCCAGCTAGTTCATTATGTGAATATGTGAAATCTTGACATTCTAAATTAGGGTAGATATCAGTTGACAAGAATTTTTTTTTAATTTCTCAGTATGTGCATTCCAATATAGGTGTGCGCGCTCGGCGTGCACGTATCGTCGGAAGATTTTCCCTCAGCAGTACTCTGAGAGCCAGCAGGGAGCCCCCTACAGTGGCGCCGGTATATCAGTGCATATATACCCCTGCTTGCTCCCTCCCAACTCCAGTTCCTTCTGTCGGTCATTGGATCACCCTTTGCTCTCCTTGAGTTGTGCTTTCACTTGCTAATTCTCCATTACTTCTCTGTACTTCAGTTATGTACCTGTGAACTGTCCTTAAAGGCTCTCTTTGTTGTCTTCTCCACCCGGCTGCAGCGCTTTGCGAGCCTGTAGCAGGCCATGCTCGGCCATTAGGGCTTCAAACCCTGCAAGAAGTGTCGTAAGCCTGTGCCCTGCAGTGACCTGCACTCCTCTTGTCTGAAGTGCTTGGGAGAATCGCACGTAACATCAGTGTGCTGCAAAATCTGCAAGGCCTTCAAGCCCAGGACTAAGCGAGAGTGTGAGTCTTGCCTCCGGGCACTCCTAATGGAGTCAGCTCTACGGCTGGCACCGGGCATAGGCAGCACACTGGCCTCGGTGCAGGACACTTCGATGCATCGCCCTTCCCTGGCACCGCGCAGGGCCCATCGTCGATCCTACTCGCTGGCAGCGCCTAGGAAGAAGCGAATGGACGGGTCGGTCCCCAATTGGGCACACGCCCTCTGCGTGCTCCTCGGTGGGGCACAAGGCGCCTGATAGCCCGCGTCCTGGGCCCTCGAGGTCGCATGCTTATCTTCCCTGGCAGAGAGTCGATAGCTCCCCGGAGGACCTGCCCAACCTGTCCACTAGAGGCGGCTAGGGTGCTCATTGAATCGTCCCTATTGCCTCCCCTCACAGCAACACCGCCTAGATGGCAGAGGGACTCCTGGCACCATTCGCCTTGGGTGCCCCGAGAGCAGCAAGAGGCGAGTAGCCTGGAACTGCAGGCGGCACTGCCCCCGGCACTGGGCTCAGAGATGGCTCCGGCATCGGCACCGGCACCAGTCGAGCCCGGCGCCGCGGAACCTATCCCACCCGAGGAGTCGGCACCAGTCATGCCTCCTCCTCCTCCTCCTCCGCCCTGGCACCGCAGCAAACCTGAGGCTATGTCCCGCCATGCTCCACCACAGTCTATGTCGGCACCTCCGTGGTCCGCGTCAGATAACTCTTCCGACTCTGATGCGGTGTCCGCATGGTCGTCCAGGGGCTCCAGGTCGTGCTCTTGGCACTTTTCCTGATCACGGTACCATTCCCAATCACGGTACCACTCCTGGCACTGGTCTTCTTCACAGCAGCAATGGGGGCAGCCGATCTCGGTGCCACTGCTACAAAAAACCTGGTCGCCTCAACAGTCTGGGCAACGGCCTTTCTGGACCCCCTGGGCCTACCACCAGAGCCAGGGCTCTGTGACAACCCGACCACCCTCTTTTGTATCAGGGCTTTGGGCTCCCCCGTCGGCTACACTGCTTGTCCAGTCCCCCACCTCAATATGCTCTCTGCCTCCAGTCCAGTCATCCCTGGGCCCGGGAGAGAGTACTGGCCCGTCAAGTCAACCCGGTCCTCCTCCTTCTCCCTCTGTGACCACCTCTGAGGGCCAAGGACATGGGGATGTCTTCATGGGGGACATTCCAAAGGGGTCATCATCTTCTTCTCCAGACGAAGCGCTGGCTGATGCCCTCTATGGATGCCAGGGCTCACCAGGACCTCTTCCGCTCACTGGCCCAAAACTTGGTGGTCCAAGCGGATAAACTGGTCGAGGACTCTGACCCCACTGTTGACATCCTTCAGGCCGACACCCCCTCTAGAGTGGCACTGCCTATAAATAAGACCATTGCCAAAATCTCATTCACCCTCTGGCAAACGCCGGCCTCTATCCCACCCACTGATAAGAGGGCTGAGCATAGATAGTTTGTGCTCCTGGAGGGTAACGAGCACCTGGTCCCGACTCCATGGTGGTTCAGGTGGTCAACCAGAGGGAGAGGCAAGGGCAACTGGCAGCCACCCCCAAGAGCAAAGACACCATAAAGGCTGATCTACTGGGGAGAAAGGTTTATGCGTCCGGAGGAATCCAGTACCGGATTGCTAACCAGCAGGTCGTCCTCTCCTGGTATGTCTACAACATCTGGGTGTCGATGACCAAGTTTGCCAACCTGCTCCCCTGGGAGTCCTGGGCAGCGTTTAAAACCCTGCAGGAAGAGGGCCGGACCATCTCTCGGGCGGCCTTACAAGCAGCGCTCGACATGGCCAACGCCGCCTCCAGGGTCATGGCTACGGGGGTCGTACTGCGCCACAGCTCCTGGTTGCAGGGTTCCAGAGTGCCCCCCGAGGTTCAGCACCCCCCCCCCCCTCACTCTTCTCAGAGCAAACGGATTAGCGCCTTCATGGGCTCAAAAACATGAGGGCCATGCTCAAGTCATTGGGTCTGCACACCCCAGCTACGCAAAGGCGTTCCTTCGTGGGTAGGAGTGCCACTAGGATGCCTTCCCAAGGCCCACGGCCTGACTTCACACGCCGCCGGGGCAGAGGGAATAACGGCAGAAACAACCGCCATCATTCTCGCCCACCCTCTAACTCCACCTTCATGGGCTCAAAAACATGAGGGCCATGCTCAAGTCATTGGGTCTGCACACCCCAGCTACGCAAAGGCGTTCCTTCGTGGGTAGGAGTGCCACTAGGATGCCTTCCCAAGGCCCACGGCCTGACTTCACACGCCGCCGGGGCAGAGGGAATAACGGCAGAAACAACCGCCATCATTCTCGCCCACCCTCTAACTCCAACCAGGGGCCTGCCAACAAGCCCCCTGGACTCCATCAGGGGTTTTGATGGGACCCTTGAGGGCCCTGTACTAGTCTTTCCTTTCCCCTTCAGGGACCGCCTATTCCGCTTTACCCGGACCTGGAGGTCAATTACATCAGACCATTGGGTCCTGGAAATAGTGGAGTTGGGCTAGTCCATCTCCTTCTTATCGCCCCCTCCTCTCAACCCCCCCACCCCGTCCCTTTTCAGGGACCCCTCTCACGGGTCCCTATTGCAGGAGGAAGTGACCCCCCACCTCGAACTGGGGGTCGTGAAACCCGTCCCCCTTCAACATTGGGGCAGGGGTTTCTATTCCCTGTACTTCCTGGTCCCAAAAGCAAATGGGGGCCTTCAGAGCTCTGAGGACTAGGATTGGGCGAACTGCTTCATCGTGAAGAGAAAGTTCAAGATGGTTACCCTGGCAGCTATTATTCCTTCCCTAGTGCCCGGAGACTGGTACGCCGCCTTCAGTCTAAAAGACGCTTAGTCCTATATCTCGATTGCCCCCTCCCACCTCAGGTTCCTACGCATTACCAATTTATGGCCCTCCCTTTTGGCATATCTACGGCCCCTCGGGTCTTGACCAAATATATGGCAGTGGTGGCCGCAGAACTCAGGAGATGGTGTATCCGGGTGTTCCCTAGCTCCTCCGAGGGGAGTCAGATGCCTAGGTGAGGGATCACATGGTCGTGATCTGTGGCCTATTCCTAGAACTAGGTCTACTGTTGAACTTGGACAAGTCCACCCTACTTCCCACCCAAACCATAGAGTTTGTGGGCGCCGCCCTGGACTCCCCATCCCAGAGGACTTCCTTACCCAACTCCCGCTTCCTCATTCTGAGAGAGGAGGTCGAGTTGCTGCAGAAGTTTCCGATGACTACCGCTCGGATGTGCATGCGCCTGCTCGGCCTCATGTGCGCCTGCTCGGTCTCATGGCCACCTGCACTTATATAGTGCAACACGCCAGGCTGTGCATGCGCCCCCTCCAGATGTGGCTGGCAAGCGCACACAGACCCAACTGCCCACTCTAGGGCAGAGTAGTGACTGTCCCCCCGAGTGTTCTCCACACATTAGGGTGGTGGACTCGCCGAGAAGGTTGTATACTCCGGGGTCCCAAACTCCAGGCCAATCCCGTCACTCCAGCTCGTAATGGACACATCGGATACGGGTTGGGGAGCCCACGTCGGGACTTGCACACCCAAGGTATGTGGTCCATGCGCAAAGTCTCCCTGCATATCAATATCAGGGAACTCAGGGCAGTCCAGCTCACCTGTGCGGTTTTCCTTCCTCACTTGAGGGGCAAGTCGATCCTCATTTTGTCGGACAACACGACAGTTTTAGCTTCTATAAACAGTGTGGGATCCGCTCCCCCCACCTATGCTCTGAGGCACTTCACCTCTGGGAGCTCTGTGTAGGGGAGGATATCCACCCGACAGCTTTGTACCTCCTGGGCTTCCAGAACGTCCTGGCAGACAGACTGAGCAGGTTGTTCACAAGTGGTCCCTGCGGTGGGACATAGCCCAATCCGTTTTCCATGCGTGGGGGTTTTCCCACCCGAACCTGTTTGCCACAGCCCAGAATGCCAAGTGTCCCCGTTATTGCTCCCTCTTGGGACAGGGTTCCCTAGGGGATGCTCTCTTTATTCATTGGCTGTGGGGCCTGCTATACGCATTCCTTCTGTTTTCTCTGGTCAACAGGGTCTTGCTGAAGGTAAGGGAATTCAGATCCCTTCTTATTCTAATCACCCCAGCATGGCTGCGACAGCACTGGTACTCGACCCTCCTCAGCCTCTCGTGTGTGAGAGGCCCGTGGCCCTCCCATTAGTTCCGGGTCTTATATCAGAGGACTTGGGCAGGCTGCACCACCCGGACCTGCGTTCCCTCCACCTGACCGCGTGGAAGCTCCGTGGCTAATGGCTCAGGAGTTCCAGTGCTCTCAACGGGTTCAGGAAGTCCTGCTTGGCAGCAGGAAGCCATTCACTAGATTCACTTACTTAGCTAAATGGAAACACTTCTGT